GGTAGTGGTAGTATTTTTTGCTCTCTAAGATATTTATAGCCACTTGGTGAACTATAATAAAACATTAAAAAAATGAATTTTGTTAATTGTGAAGTTATTAGATTAAAAAAACTATTATATTCAAACCTTACCGTATTTGAAACAACAAACATAAAAGCGTCCAATTTTCACCATAACATCTGTTTTTAGCATTTTTAACTTTTGCTGCCAAGAATATCTCTTTAATCAGTTCACATTGGTCTTTTGGTATCTCCGAGTTTTCTAGTAACTCATCAAGTGTTTTTTTACTAAAAGAATTCATTTCATCTTTTATTTTATTCAATTCAATTTGTAGACGTAAAATTGTTTAACGCGCTCTAGAACATCTTTGCTGCATATTTTTCTTAATAGATTTTATTTTTGAAACTATTTTTTTTTTATTTGGAGAAAAAAATGGTTTTGAAGATAATCCTTTGCTATGTTTGGTAAGTTTATTATTTATAGAATAAGTTAGTCTTTTACACCATATGCATAATTGTCTGAAATAAATAAATAAACTGTTATATTGGCAATACACACTTGTCACTTTTATTAGCAAAAAATTACTCATCATCCTTCAGAATTGTTAAACAGTTATTATGCTTCCACCGACCATTGACCTCAATGTATTGGGAACCAAATGAAGACTTGATGTCACTAACTTTAATTGAGGAAACAGCTCCATAACAAAATTTTATTTTTTCAAGGATATTTAATAAATTCTCTATATCCTTAATATCTTTAATATGTTAGTTTTTTAGGCCTATTTCTGATAATTTGAATTCTTTTCCATTAAGATGTAGTAATATATTTGAATTTAATTAAATGCATAACTAGTTATTAAGTATCTCAAACACTATAAATATAAATAAGTATAGCATTAATTTATATAACCTTTAGTTATAACTATTCTTTTTTCAATTATCCCTGTAAAATGTAATTGCAATGGGCTAAGTTTATGAATTGATACTACCATCTCAGTTTTACTTTCGTACACATCCACAATATCAATAAACCAATGATTAGGTAAATTAACCAAGCACTTATTCCTCAAAATATTTGTGTACAAGTCTATTTCAATCTGTTAATTGTTAAATTAAATATTATTTATGGATATACCAACAAATTCTTATGTTGAAACAAATGAATAATAATAATAATAATAATAGGTAATATATTATAAAATAAATCAATATTTAAACTTTATAGTTACTTTTTTTGTTTTTTTTTTTTTTTATTAAGAAACTTGGTGAGAACCATTAGTTCAAACAATTAATAGTTACTTAATATTATTAATTATGCTATACTTTATTTACCTTTCTTCTTTGGGTTTCAATCTGGCAGTTTTCATCATTCTAAATTAATACTGATGGAATTGCTCCTTCCAAGAGTTTAGGAACTTTAAAACATATCTAAATAACAATTTATCACTTATTGAAAAATAGTTATAAATTATAACATAGGTAAACTGAAATATATAATAATATATTCTTACTCTGTATTTATTTTCACTTTCACCAGATTCCCAAGTAGACTTTATATCACTCTCCTTAAAATGTGAAGCACACACTCTGTAACTTTTTTTAAGAACAGTTTTAAGGAATTTTCCCATTTATTTCTTTCCTCTATGTTTTTAGGGACCCCGAAAGTTGTTTTTGAAGCTTTGTGTGCATATTTCACACAACAATTAGCCATAACGATATATTTTTAAAATATTAACTCAAATATCTATAGACGTAGCCGTGGTCTAGTGTGTTAATTTGTTCTCTATGCTAGTGTCTGGCACTCTGACATGCAAATCTGCATAATATAAATATACAAGCAGTTGTGCAATTAGTTCTATCAAATGCCGTAGATGGCGTGACAGGCTCGTCATTTTAGTCACGTGACTTTTCAATAAGATTCCGGCTCGGCTTATTGTGTTGTTTAGTACAGGCCGTTCCGCAACCATATTATCTATAGCCGTGGTGTACACTATAAATGAATCGAAAATGCAACTATCGAAACAAATATCAGTTACATATATTATTTGAAAAATTCTTTAATGTGCCGATCATAAACCGTCGGTGGATCGGATGATGAGTGGAATGTTTTTTCGTTTATCTATGTTGGTGTGTGGATTTTTGGCTGGTATGTAATTTTTTTTTGTCCCTTTTATGTATATAGAAATATAATGGTATGTATACCTATAAAAATATGTAATGTATACCTCGGCGTCTACGAGCGACCGAGCCCCCTCGCGAGGTTTTGTATCACTTTCATAATTTATGATTATAATCGGTGGCATAGTCATATGTATGACGACTGCCAATGATAATATACATTAAACTTTTTCTTTGTCCGAGTTTTATGCCGTTCGGCTTTCTCGGCGTCAAAATATTTTCAACACAAAAAAATCAATAAAAACAATAGATTCTTTTTTACATTTCGTGTTCATTTATTATATATATACAAAATCCACGATGCTCCCGGTCTTTTGGGCCTCGGTTCGTGGTTGGTGACCTTGTCAAACGGGCGACCACATGACGTTCGACGAGCTAGGTATTTGTCTAGGCAAATTGTCGAACGGTCACATCCTTACTCCCATTTTAAAAACATGTATGTACCAAACACAAACTAAGACAAAACAATTATGTATGTATACATTTATATGGTTAGGTATGCTACAGAATTTTCTAATTTTATCACATGGCGGCTAGACAGGAAATTAAGCATAAATCAAATACACACAAGTTTAAAAAAAACAAATACAACACTTTATTACAATAAATTGAACTTACTTTTAATACTTTGTCATTGTATAATTTGTTTCTCACATTTTTAAACAGATGAGTTGTATCAGAGAATACATATATTTTATTATCAACAACAAGTGGATGAGGAAACTAATTTTTAAAAGATTTTATTTTTCCACTAACTCCTAGCTCCAACCACATTTTCATTTTGGTCTGAGCTTCATCAGACACAACACCGTGGACGATTGCACCTGCTTGTTCTAAAAGGATGATACATTTTATTACAAGTTTTGCCAATTCAGTGCCAACTACTGATCCTTTTGCTGCAAAAACAGCCACTGGTTGACAATAAGTATCGGCAAGTGGCTGGAACATAAAAGCAAGTCCACTTGTGGCTTTTTCGTTGATATCAGTTGCCTTGTACTCTTCACCATAATCAACAAGACCCTTATATGTCAAAGTTTTTGAACAAACCGTAAGTGCTTCTCGAACTGAAATCTCATCCACCAAAATAATTCCATGTTTTTGCATTGTAGTTTTGCGTTCCAAGTGTTTTTTAAATAATGTAAGAAAGTTTTCATCAAAACCACAAGCCGTATCCATCATAACTAGATATCGTTTTAATCAAGAGCTGACACTGGTAAGTGGCCGTATGTCATTTTTTTTACAAAAATTATAGTCACTAGGAGTTCGTATATGCAATAACATACAAAACATTATTCACTCATCAGAATACCGCCGCCCTTTTGGATTGCTGATCTATTTTTTTTTTGTATATAGATAAAAACATTAATTATTATTTGCATGATGAATAGGATTACATGTTAACATTACTTTTGCAGCTGAAACTATTTCTTCAATGATTGTCTTCTGGTATCCACTACAGTTCATCTCAGTAAGTTTCTGTGAAATACATTCTTTTGACACATTTTCAAATTTAGACAATAATTCAGACATATTTTGTCTCAATAGCTTTATTTTATTTATTAAAAATGGCTTATGCCATTATATTGTAGTCTTATGATGGATGAAATGGCCATCCGCCAGCACCTTGAATATGATGGCACAACTTACTATGGTCCTGTTGACCTTGGAAATGGCTTAAATAGTGATTAATTAGATATTGCTAAGGAAGTATTAACTTTTATGGTCGTAGCTGTAAATGAGAACTAGAAAATCCCAATTGGTTATTTTTTAACGAAAGGCTTAAATAGCTCACAAAAGTCTGAGCTTGTTCGGCATGCCTTAGACCTTCTACTGTAAACTAATATTACTATAATAAGCTTAACAAGTCAACAAGAAAGATGTTCCACAAATATATCATTAGCACAACAATTAGGATGTAGTTTTAATATAGATAGTTTAAGTACTAAATTAATGGCTTGCTCTAAAAACTTTGACAACAAAGAAGTTTTAGTCTTTTTAGATGCTGCGCATATGGTTAAATTGGTGAGGAATGCTTTTTGTGAACGTAAACAATTAATGGATAAGAATAGAATGATAATTGATTTTGACTACATTAAAAAGTTATTCATTCTGCAGGAACAGGAAGGTTGCCACTTAGCCAATAAACACCGAAAACAACATATATTTTTTTTCAAACAGAAAATGAAAGTTAAGCTTGCCACCCAGCTTCTTGGCCAATCTGTGGCTGATGCACTAAAATTCTGTAAAGATAACCTGAATTTAAAAAAGTTTTCAGGAGTAGACGCTACGGTTCTGTTTATAGAAATGCTTAATAAAGCCTTTGACATATTTAACTCTAGAAGTGAAAAATGTTTAAAAAAGCAATATGTAAAGAAAATTTTCAAGAAATATACAACTTTTGTTCAACATTTATAGATTATATTAAACATTTAAAAATAAAAGATAATAATGGACAATGCATACCAATACTTAATTCAAACAGAAAAACTGGTTTCATTGGCTTTATTATTTGTTTAACCTCAACAATTGAGTTGTATGGCATTTTGGTAAAACTAGATAAACTTAAGTCGATTAAGCTTTACAAGTTAAGTCAAGATCACCTTGAACTATTTTTTGGAAATATCAGAGCACAAAATGGATACAACAACAACCCAACTGCCAGACAATTTCGTTCTGCATATAGAAAACTTGTCATAAATGTAAATAATGTACAGCTGACCAACAGTAGAAATTGCATACCCTTAGAGAGTATTGATATTCTTCACTATTCTAGTAGTGACCCCATTAAAGGTATTAATGAAAGTACAACAAATATTAATTCTAATCCTACATATTTGGAAGATAATTTAAAAGCAGCTGAAAGTTTCATTAATGATCATGAATATATAGTCACTCAGAATACTTTTGAGTTTAGTAATTTTACTAAAGAAATAATTATATATATTTCAAAATTTGTGGTACATAAATTAGCTTCAACTCTTCAATGTGAAACTTGTGTAAAATCATTATATGCTATTAACAAAGATCAATTTTTGAATTCTTTAATTTTTTTTAAAAATCGAGGAGGTTTTAAAGGAGGTCTTGTTTACCCGAGTGACGACGTTATTATAGTATGTTTACAAACTGAAAAAACCCTTAAGTATTTCAATTACCAAACTAAAGCAATAAATAAATTAAAAATACAATCTCAAGTACTTAATCACTTTTTAAGTAACTCAAAAATTTTTGATTCATTAAATTTTCACAGCAAAGAAATTAATTCGCCTTTATCTGATCATGTACCACTACTAATAAAATCAATTTCTACAACATATATTAATTTGAAAGTAAAATATAGCTTAAAAGCACATAATGAAACACAATCAATGCGAACATGGTATAATAAATTAACTCTATTCAAAGGCCAATAACAATAATGGTTTTATATTTTAATTTAATGATTTTTATTTGTATATTTTATAATTAATTTAATAAGTATGTATTAATGTAATTAGTAATTAACTATCTTAAATTTGTTTAACCTCTTCTCATAAAATAAGAGTTGTTGTTCAATCATTTATTAACTTGTTTAAAATGTATATTATGTAAATTGTATTCTTTTAAATAAACGCAGTATATATTATTATTTTTATTATACTGATAAATTTTGTACTATGTGAAAGTTTGGAATCCGATCAATGATCAATCTACAAATATATGGTATAATAAAAATAAATCTGAATTCTTGAAGTCTGAAAATTTAGCAATATATTATAATAATAAATATTTTATGACTCAATTTAGAATCCCGTGATTTGCCGGGTAATGTATTTTTGAAACTCGAAAATCCGGTGCAGAAATTTTCGGGGATCAATATTATCGTGAAATATTTTTACAAATGGTTACACTGTATTTAGTCATTTTGCGCTTCACTTATTATTTGTAATGCCACTTCTATCTTACTCTAAGGTCTACCCGGCAGCGCTTTTGCGGCAACTTGGGAAACGTAAGAGGCCGTCACAGTAAGGCGGTGTTCTCACCAAAAGCAACCTCGACATGTATTATTAAATTGACGTGTTCTCACAGGTCGCAACAGGACTGGAAAACAACGCAACTGTTTGAAAACTATTTTTGAGCAACTCGACGTGTCAGTCTCTTTTGTTTAGTTGCTAGTGTGAATAGTTCGATTTTGTGAATAATTCAATTATTTGATTATTACCTACTCTAGTTAATAATCAATTTCATATTTTGTTAATAATTTATCTAAAATGCCAAATGAACAAGAAGAAAATATGGCATTCGTTCAACTTATAGAAAGTCACCCATGTCTTTATGATGTAACATCATCTAATTACACAAGACATAAAAGAAAAAGCATGGAACGACATTTCAAAAAAATGAACAATTCTAGTAAGTAAAATGTTGTCAAAAAATCAAAAACGTAATTACTAATTAATCTTGTATAAACAATGTAGGTACATACAGATACAATATTAAATAGATGTATCATATTATTTGTTAAATAAGTAAAATTAAAAGTAATAATAATCATATAACAAATAAGACATAAATATTAAATTAAGTTAAATTAAATTATAGTATTCCATTGATATGGAATAGAACCAGCGGGTGTCATAAAATATTCACATAATTTTTCTCTGTTTTGTTGTGCCTCTGATAACGATCTTACTTGTCTCTCGTGATTTTGTTGAGCCTAAACTTGTCGATTTTCTTGTTGTGTGTCAAATATTTTAGGATGAGAAAATATTCCTTGTTTGATACGAATATAATTATGTAGGACACAGGCAGCTTTTATAATATTATTTATAGTTTCTTTCTTACAACAAATTGGCCCTTCAAATAAACGAAACTTGGATACCAACATACCAAAAGCACACTCGACGCTTTTGCGGCCTCTAGAAAGTCTATAGTTAAACACCCCTTTTTTAATATCCAAACTTCGTTTTGGATAAGGTCTCATTAAATATTTAGTGAGGAGGAAAGCTTCATCGGCGACAAAATAAAATGGAAAATTATTTTCATTATTACTTGAAGGTAAAGGTCTAGGAGGAGGTAATTGTAATATGTCTAAATTTAAAGCACGTCCAAGATTTGAAGTTCGAAATACAGCACCATCACTATTTCTTCCAACTTCACCAACATCTATCGTCGTAAATAATCCATCGGCATCGACACAAGCCATGAGCACAATAGAAAAATACCCTTTATAATTGAAATATGTTGATCCTGTGTTCGGTAAACATTTTATTCGAAAATGTTTATCGTCAATAGCGCCCACACAATTCGGGATATTCCATAGCTCAAAAAATCTGTCAGAAATTTGTAACCATTTTTCTTGTGATGGCGAATCCAAATACTTTGGTTGTAGTACATTCCAAATATTTTCAGTTGTGTTTGAAATAATGGTACTAATTGTTGTAAGTCCTCTCATAAAATGATATGTCATAGCTCTATAACTTTCACCTGTTGCCATAAATCTAAAAAAAGTTTAATATATTATTGATAAATTATTTTTTTTTTAAATTTAATTTAAATAAAAAATCTAAAATAAATAAAAAAAGTAATATGATAAATAGTTGTAATATGAATTAAGAATATTGTAACAAAATTTGGAGCACAAATGTTCACATTGTGCGTCCAACTTCACGGACCTAATGTATTGTATAAGTATTTAAATTGTAAAGGTCTTATAAAATTATTTTTAAATGATTTTAGTTCAAACATGTAAAGAACGATGGAAAAACATAAGAACAGTATTTCTACGTCATTTACGACAAAAAGTAACAAGTGGATCATCAGGTGGCCTTAAAAAAAAATATTATTTAGAAGATGCTATGAAATTTATAATTCCATTTGTTAAAAGTGGTAAGAAACAACAAGGAAATATATCGATATCATCGGAATTGGAAAAGGACACTAACATGGAAGATATTGAAGAGGAATCAAATGTTGAAATAATAGAATCTGTTCAAGTACCAGGATCATCTGAATTATTCAGTAGTCATCGAGATATAGCAGACGATCACGATAAAATAGAACATAACGCAAAAAAAATTAAAGTAAATAGTAAAATAAGTGATGTTGATAATTGTTTCATGGAATACTTTGAAACAAAAAAGAAAAAATGTCAACCGCACCAGAATGTGCAGATCAAAAATTTTTGTTGAGCTTACTACCGGATATACAACAAATGAACCCCATACAAAAAAGACAATTCAAAAGGAAAGTTTTGGATGTTATCGGTTGTATTTTAGAGGATCAAGGTTCATTAAATCCATCTAGTAATTTAAGTTCCTCTAGTTATTCTACATTATCGATAGTACCAGAGGCAAGAACCAGTCATTCAAGTTCGTCTAGTTATTCTACATTATCGACAGTACCAGAGGCAAGAACTGATAATACAGGTAATCAATGTCAACAATTTGATCCAGCTCAGAGTGGTTTTGAATTTTTTAATATATAATAAAAATATTTTTTTTTCCTAATTTGTAAAAAATATGTTATGTTTTGTGAGAGTTTTCACAGTAATTAACATTCTATTTCTATTTTTTTTAAAATTTAATTAAAGATTGTCATTTTATTTTTGTTGATTATTCTAAAAATAAAAAATATAATAAAGTTTAGTTGTATTTAATTTAATTATTACCATATTGTAATTAGAAGTCTTTCCTCAACAGACACTGCTTTTCTATAGTTGGTATCTTTTTTTTGAATTGAAGTCTTCATTAGTTCTACTAGTTCTTGAAAACTTTCAATACTCATTCTATAAAAACCATGAAATTTAGCTGGGTCTTGGTCTAATTCTCTTGTTAGTATAAATGAACTGTGGTTGACGTTGAGTGAATAATATGGATGAATCCAATTTTTTTTTTATTTTTTGTTTCTTATACCTCAAATACATAAATGCTACAACCATATCCTCATCGGATGAAGACATTTTGATAACTGAATATGCATTGAAGTTGCATTGAAGTTTCATATTAATTTTTTTAGATGAGAACAACTGGGCAACTCAACTACAACTAGACTTGAATCTCTATCGCGTTGCCGTCATCAGTTGCTTCTGGTGAGAACACGGCCTTAGCCTTACAATGCATGATTTTTTTATTTTTTATTTTTTAATTTTTTTTGAGTTGTTATATCAGTCCTAATTAACGGAAAAATACTTTAAAAAAAATTTGATATTTTAAGTCTAAAAAACCAAATTTTTAGTTTGTTGCCTGTGAGCAACATTATGCATTTACGTATAACATAATTATTTATTAAGTTTAAAACGTGTAATTTATTCATATATATATCTTGAAAAGTTAAATTGTTTATTGTTTTACTATAAATATAAGAAAATAATAATTGACTAACTTGCCAATTACAAAACAAAGTATAAATTTGTAAAAATGTATTAATGTATACATAAAATGTAGTATCAATATATAACAAAAAAAAAAAATATATAGAAATAAAAATAAAAAAAAAATTAATAAACTTTTTGGTTTAAACTTAGAACAAAAATGTAATTGACTGACCTGCCAATACATAACAAAATAAAACAAAATAACTAATATAAGTAACAAAAAACTAACATAATATCTTTTATGGTAAATATACTTTTTTTTAAATTATAAAATAAAATAATAAGTAAGAAATTATAATTAATTTTTATGTTGTATGCCATTTGGTGAAACAAGTTAGTCCTTTGCCACAACATAAACTTATTTGACATTTTCCACACATCATGAAAGTAAAACCTTTGCAACCTGGATTTTTACATCTAGTTCTTTTTTCACTTTCAATAGGCCAATGATCTAATTTGTCAGTTCTTACCTCTTTTGGTGGTGCATGCTGTCCTACTTTAGTGCCCATTTTACCCTTTTTTATAATTCCTTCTTGCACATCATTAGTGGGACGTCCACGTTTTGGGGTGTAAGTACCAATTTTGCAGAGGGATAAAGCAAGTTCTTCCCTAAACTTTACCAATGATAGCACACTATTATTTCCTTTCTGTTTCTGAATTCTTTTATGTAGAAGCCAAGAATTTACTACAGTTACATCTAATAAATGGTGGAAGACCCTCATGTACCATTTTCTACTCCTCATCTTTATCTTATGACGCCCAAGTAACCCATCTAATAAATCAACACCACCCATGTGTCTGTTGTATACTTGTATTATATTTGGACAATCAACTTCAATCCTTTTTTTTTGTTTCCTGTCAAACCTACTTACTTTTACAACTGGGTCTATAGCAGTAAATGTCGAAAGCAAACTCACAATTTTTGTATCTTTCCATATGACAGCAACTATGTCTGTATCTAATACTTTGGATATACAATGGGCAGTAGTGCCCCTCGGCTGTTTCATTAGAACAGAATCAACTGGCAACATTACATTTTTTAACCTATTTCTTCTTACAGTGCCTAGAGATAATATATTTCTTTTTTTTAAATAAACCAACAGTGGCAAAGATGTATAATAATTGTCAAAAAATAATTTAAAATTTTGGTTATTAGGTATAACTCTACTAAGACACACAACAACATTTGCACTAGCACCTAGAACTGGCTCACTTGCTTCTCTACCTTCGCTATTATTTTCTTGACCTGAACAAAACTCAAAATTATATGCAAAACCTGAGGCACCACTAAGAACAAAAAATGTGTAACCCCATTTATGAGGTTTATTGGGCATGTATACTTTGAGTGAACTTCGTGCTTTTGTGCTGCATATTTGTTCATCAACTGCCAAGTTTTCCTCAATTGGTATAGAACTAAATCTTTTTCTTGAAGTTTCAATAAGTGGCCTAATTTTATGTATTTTATCTCTTTCAGGACCAGTAGAAGTTAATAAATTATCGTTAAAATGAAGATTAGCTCTAATTTTTTCAAATATATTTACAGGCATTGTAGTTTTTATTAAATCATTACCTAATACTGGGGACCAATAATTTCTAATATTAGATGTATTTACCAAACTCATAATTATAAGAATACCAATATATTTTTGTAAATCTTCTTTATTAATTTTTAAGGGGGTACTAGAGTTGTTCTGTACACCATATTTATATGTTTCAAAACATATATGATCCAATAAGTCAGAGGTAAAAAAATATTTAAATATTTGAAAAGGTGTTTCTAATTCAAGGATGTCACTAGGTAAATCTGAATTGCCAAGAAAATTTGTATCTATTACAGGAAAGTTACCTTCAGTCCAAACAACATTTTTCACTTCAATTGGTGGTATAGAAGGTACTGATGCAATAGATGGGGTTGTTTGTTTTGATTTTCTGGTTTTTTTATCACTTGAAACATTTTGTTTTCTTATGACTGGTTCAGTGGATGTTGAGGGTAATGAAATATTTATATCAGAAAAATTACTATTATCTACAACAGGTTCTAGAATAGGAAATATAACATTTTCGTCGACAATAGATTCAGAAGAAAACTGCTTAGATAATAATTCTTCAAAAGTAGTAATATCTGGCTCCTCTAATAAATTACTATATTTACTATATAAATCTAGTTGATCATCATCAACATCACTTTCAAAATCATCTTCAGATCCTGATGGTATATCTAATAACTGTAAAATGTCACTATCGTCTATTTTATTGGCCATATTAAATCAATATTCCTAAAAAGTTTAATAACACTCAAAACAGACAAAAACTCAAAACAATTTTAGTTATTCAACAGCGAAAGTCAGTGAAAAGCAAGTTGTTGAATATTAGTAATCATATTTTGTTTATATTATCGTGATAACATAACGGGAGTGCATAATGTAGCTCACAGGCAACAAAGTAAAATTGAGATATTACAATAGTACGAATCGACAAAATGTCAATTATTCTATACTAACTATCTTATAACAGTGTAGGAAACACAAAATAATTTTTGAAAAACGTATTGTATGAATTAACACCGATTTATTGTACTTCAAAGATGCATACATCCATGAAAAAATTGATAATGGCGATTACGAAAAAAAAATATTGAAAAGACTAAAAATAAATAGAATTAGTTATTTTCTTACTATTATATTCACCATAATATGAATATATACTATCTTTTATGAGTATTTATAAACATTTTACAAGAAGTATTTTAGATATTAGAGGCTATTTTACACATTGTTGCTCACAAGCAACGCTATGCATTGTAGGGTTAGTGTTATATTCTTTTTACTTTTAAAGAGATGGCGTTGTGCGCCATATCGTCGCCGCCGCGGCTGGCCGTAACCACGCCCACTTTTTCCGTGACGAGGCTCACGCTGCATAGTCGCGGGAGAGGCGCATTATTATTTCACGAACTGTCGTTCGGAATGTTTCACGTCATTACAAACCGTTGCGTAAATTGTCGCCCATGAATACTAAACGGTGCGCTGGCTCGCTCCTAGCTCACAAGTCGCACACCTATTTTTTAATTAAACCTCCTGTTTGCTTAAAAATACAAACCAATAAATTAAGCATACAAGTTTTTATACACCATAACTCGATTTATATTTTTAACCCAATTACTTTTTAAAATACATGTAAAATAATAATTCCATTACGATTAAATAGATTTTTTAGTAAAAATGTTGAGTATCTTACATTATAACTGATAAGTGACATGAAGCAATTTTTATGCGATAATTTAATCTCCTAAATAAATATTAGCAACATTTTAAATAGTTTTGATTAGTAAATATTGATGTATTTACTTATTTTAATTTTAAATATAATACTTACATAAAATACGAAGTTGATTGTGGTACAGTATCTATGTAAAAAAACAATTGTTTAAAACAAACATGTTCATTGTTCATATAATGTAATTTGTAAGATAACTAAAAAGTTAACATAATACAATGAATTAAACGTTGTATTTTTCGTTAATCGTATTTATAATTGATTAAAATATTTATATACAGTACTATATAATATACAATTAATACAAAACTATTCATTATTTACAATTTATTTTTTTGTTTTAATGTTTTCCAAAATGTGTTCAGGATCTTTTATATCATCTACTAACAAACGTTTTTCATACTGAGGATTGATTATCTCTGGTAGTAAGCATTCCATATAAAAACGTTAAAAAAAAAGTCCAATGAATATACAAACGAATAATTGTGTTAAACCCTGGCATTAAAATTAACGAATGTTTAAAACTTACATTTTTAACTTATCAATTATTTTGTTGTCCCAGAAAGATTCATCGTAATTTATTAATTGTATTTCTGTCCAATTTTTCGAGTGGACGACGAAATAACAGGATTTTCGTCTAGAAATGTGCATTTTCCCCTGGACTTGATAGTAAAAATGATGATCAGTTTTTAATTCCATCATTACATTGTCATTGAGACGACAGAATAATAGCTATGCAGAAAAATATTATAAAAAAGTACTCAGTTCGTGTTTAGACTTCGTACAGTCCACACGTTAATTGTTACGCGCTCCGCTTTATCAGCTCCCGATAGCGTGTGTATTGTATTGTTCATCGTGTCCAGCGCTCGTCGCGGTACTCGTACCGTCGGTAATGTATAAATTATCTGAACATTCCCCAAGGCCAACCTATAAATTACCTTATCTACATCATTATACTTATCTACATAATTATGAAGTCTAATCGCCCATTAACACCTATCACCAAAATTTCCAAACCACCAATAATTAAAAAGTCAGCTAATAAAACTATTCCATCACCACACATTATCTCCAACACATTAATGGATCAAACGGGTGACAACAGCCCTTCTGACTTATCGGGCAATGAATTCGATTGGAAAGCAGTTCCAACAAATTCTACGAAACGAAACAGATTTCCAAACCACACTTCTCCTAACACAAAAAAACCAGACACAAATATTTTTATTTCTGCAAACCGTTTCACTCCGATTGCTCCTACTAATGAAGTTCAACCAATGGAAACAGTTGAAACTCAATCTGTAAACAATGATAATATAACTTCAAAACCGCCTCCTATCTTTATTCAAGAACAAATAAATTACAACAACTTCTGTCAAAAAATTAATGAATTAACTGATACCTCTAGATTTGACTGTAAGAGCTCTACCAAAGGTCTTAAACTCCAAACATACAGTTCTGACTCATACAGATCAGTCGTCAAATACCTCAAGAATAATAACGTATCATTTCACACATACCAATCAAAAGAGGAAAAACCTTATCGTGTCGTAATTAGAAACATCCATCATTCCCTCGATACCTCTTTTATTAAGCAGGAACTCTTAAATAAAGGATTTGTCACTAGAAACATAACGCCGGTAACTCACAAGTCAACCAATACCCACCTACCGATCTTCTTTGTTGATATTGAACCAAGTACAACAAATTCCGACATTTTCAAACTTACTTCATTGTGTTACACTAAAATTAAAGTTGAAATTCCCCACCCTAAAAAAGTAATTTTGCAATGCCACCGCTGTCAGTCTTATGGCCACACTCGTGGCTATTGCAATCACTCCCCTCGTTGTGTTCGCTGTGGTGAGCACCATGAGTCAACTACATGTACCAAGGATCGCTGCTCCCCGGCTAAATGCGCTCTTTGTGGCGGAAATCACCTGGCTAACTTTAGGGGTTGCCAATCTCACCTGGATCTTAAAAAAAAATTGCTGCCAAACCCTTCAAAGAATATCTTAAACAAAAGTTCCCAACCTCGCCAACCACCTGGAGTGAATACCTACGAATCCTCGCATCAAGCTTACACACAACATTTCCCACCATTAAATCAAGACTCATCTTCTAATACTCAAGACACCAACTCAAGCCACAACCAAAATATCACTGCTCAACTCTCCTCATTTATTAACGAATTCAAAGCATTAATAAACCCACTCATATCACTTCTCACCACAGTCATTGACAAACTCATAAATAATGCCAACAAATAACTTACAACCACTCTCCATATTTTTATGGAATGCTAACGGCATCCTGCAACATTTAAATGAATTACAAGTAGTTCTTACTGAAAAAAAGTTACAATAGCTCTTATTTCTGAAACTCACCTAACTAAAACCTCTACACTCAAGATATCCGGATTCGATATTATCAGAGCTGACCATCCAGATGATACTGCACATGGAGGCGCTGCTCTCCTTATCTCCAATAAAATTGACCATACACCTCTTCCTCCATATCTGTCTACAAATATTCAAGCAGCAAGCACTTCAATAACAATAAACTCCGTTATTATTTCCATCTCTTCATGCTATTTTCCCCCAGGAAGACCTTTCCCCTCGGTAGAACTCGGTAATCTTGTCCAATCACTAAGCTTTACCCATATTATTGGCGCTGACTTCAATGCTAAATATCAAACTTGGAGTCGGTCAACAAACACCAGAGGCCGTACCCTACAAAATTTCATCTTGCTCAATCATCTTAAGGTAATAGCGTCCCTTTCTCCAACCTATTGGCCATCACATAGCAACCGTCATCCCGACACTCTTGACTTCTTTATCACCAATCTTCCTAATCGTTTTTCCACTGAAATTATAAGTCTAAATGACCCAGACTCTGATCATACACCTGTCTTGCTACTAATCGGAGCTCATCCCTCTCTGAAGAAAAATAGACCAACCATTACTCCAGGTACTACAAACTGGAACAAATTCAAAGATACCATCTCAAACAAAACTACTCTTAACCCGCGATAACTCGCACTGTTAGAAATAATCTAACATTCAACTTATTTTTAGAATAACAATAATCGTTTAAATGATAAATAGTTGTCCTTCCATCAATGCTTTATCTATATCACTATAGAACTAATAATATCATAATGGAAGATAAGATAACATTATATGACAATTGTTTTCAGTTTAAAGTTGACGGTAAGCAAATTGTTAGTAGTAATCTAACGCGCGAGTGATCACGACACCCGAGTTGTTAGTAATAATCTAACGCGCGAGTGATCACGACACCCGACTTGTTAGTAATATTCTAACACGCGAGTGTTTACGCGGTGATTTTTGTATGTGTGTAAAATTCAAATTAACATTTTCAAACTAATATCATTATTTTTAGTGTCGTGTATCATTTTATGATATTGTTTTCTTTGTAATTGTTTACTGTAATAATGAACAACGATAAAATTACAAATAAAGTAATAAAATGGTTGCAAGAAGATGAAGATACAAACACCAGTGACCTGAACTCAGAAACAGATACAGAATCTGAGCATTCAAATCATGACACAGAATCAGAACAGTCAGGTAATAGTGATTCTGATAATACACATACCCCGGCTTCAAATAATTTACTGAATACCCCTTGTTATGTTGGAAAAGATGGTAAGAAATGGCTAATGCATAAGCCACAAACTACAAAAACTGCTCGTCAAAATATAATTACAAAATTACCGGGAGTGAAAGGTGCAGCTAAAAATTCAAAAACAATTTTAGACTGTTGGAAAATATTTTTTCCCGATAATATAATTATTTATATTGTCGAATGTACAAATCAACAACTTAATTTAATTCGTTCTAATTATACACGAGGTGAAAGAGACTGTCCACCAACAAATTTTGAAGAAATTTTAGCATTTTTTGGGTTATTATATTTGGCTGGTGTAAAGAAGGCTCAGCATTTGAACACCGATGAATTATGGTCT